ATGATAATATTTATAATTGTCTGAAATAAATGCAATTTTAAAGTTTTAATTATTATTTACACATATTAAAAAGTTTTACGCTCATTATTAATAGAGATTGAAACTAAATATTTTTTGTTTCGAAGTTGAAATCAAGGCATATTCACTGCCAAAAGTCAGTTAAAAATTTTCCATATTATTCGTTATTTTTTATTTTATTCAAAGTTTTTGGACAAATTCCAAATTTTCTCTCAAACCGTATACTTTTTTTTTTACTATAGATAGTATTTATTTACCTTGTCTCCGATTGTACCTCTCAAACATCCTTAATTTCGTTTTGTACCTAAATATTGCAAATATATTTTAAAAACTATAGCATTTGATGAATTTGCCGTTATTTATTTGTGAAACATTATTTAAATAGATAAAAAGATAAAACAACAAAATTGACCGTACCAAGAAAGACCCAAGTCCCTGAAATAGGGTTGCAGCTCTTTCAGTACTCTCAGGGTGGCATAGAGTACAAGGGTTTGTATGGCACTCTGATACACATTACTGCGTTGTGGAAGGCAACGGGAAACCACCACACAGACGTAAGGTAGTCCGTCATTCGGATGTCCGAGCGGGAATTACCTCGGGGGATGTCATCAAGTGCAATAGGAGAATGCGTAGGACCGACGACCTTATGACAATGATGATGATTGAAACAATTCCTACGGTGCAAAAATCTTCGTTATCATCTGGTAAACTTATATTTTTTAAGATTAAAATAAAATTGACAAACTAGGCAATAATAAATACCTACCCATGACACCATCGCAATGTATTCGTATGATATCATCTTACATCTTCTATGCTGGAGGAATCTTCACTCGGCACCCTACATCAAAAATATAATGTGTTACAATTATTTCTAATATATTGTTTTATTGAAATTCATTATTTTAGAGCATACCCCTTCTTATTAGCATAGGTAATAAGCAGAATTCAAAATCTTGTACATTGTGGCACTATGCAATCTAAATTCTTTTTTTGTATTAATAATCGTAATCACGCGCAAAATATTCATGTTTTTAACAAGTAGGTTTAGAGAATTACGTACAAAAGTCTCTAATAAACATAACAAATTTTGACAATTAATAAACACGAAAATAAGAAACCGACAGAATTAAGTTAGTGTAAGTATAAAAATAATGGCAGAAGACGCTGGAGAAGCAAAGTAAGTTACATTATACATTTTTTTAATATTTAAATTGACGGTTAAGAGAAAACTATAAAAAATCGTTTCGGTGACAGGTCAATTCCTGGAGAGGCAGTGAAAGAATTATATTACCCTTTAGAGGAGGTCATAGTTGAAAAAAGATTAACTTTTGAGGAAGCTGCAAAATGTCTTAACACTTTGGGAAAAGACGAAAGTGGCATGCGCTATGCCTATCTAATGATCACGGCTACCGACAGGCAAGTTTTCTAAAATTTTTCCAAAGGCATAAGCAATACTTGACCTGAAAGAAAATATTTAACAATCTAAAAAGGTCATCGAAAATGAAATTATCGTAATATGTATTTTTTGAAGTGAAACTTCTTTACGCACGGTAGAGTAAGTTCGTTTCATGCGAATTGCTATGTAACGAAATCATGCAACGCATTTCCCCCGATGTCTGTTCCTATGTATCTTTAAAACTACGCAACGGATTTTAATGCGGTTTTTTTTTTATAGATAGAGTAATTCAAGAGGAAGGTTTATATGTATAATACATGCATAATATAGTAGAGAAACACTGATAATTCTAGAGGTTTCTAATGTGATGTCGTAAATAAACACATTTTTTTGCGTTTACATTGCAAACGCTGGCTGAATCCTACTAGATAGATCAAAATAATATACTACAGTATTGTACACCTTAAAAAGATCTACAAAAAGGCCGCTATGGTATATGTCTATCTCTTAAGGATAACCCACAATAACCATTTTTTATCCTTTACTTTTTACGAAAAATAATGGTTTATTTACGAAGCGATTTTAAGCAATACAGCATTAATCCTTATCCAATTAAGTACTTTTAAATACATTGTGCATTTAATATAGATCAATATGGCCCTTTACAGCATGTAATTTAAATGAATATTTTCGAAGATATTACAGACTTAAAATGCAGGGACATAGCGGTTGCGGCGGTACCGGCCGGTTTGTATTGTCTAATGACAAAAAATGGCGATTGTTGTATATAAAGACATTCTATAGTATATTTACTATTAGCATTGCACCCGTGCGAAGCATAGTGTACAAATAATACCAATAAACGAATTCCTTAACCTCCCATCCCGGTATGTGTGTTTGAAAAACTTTCACTTCAGTAGCGTGTTGTATAATTACACGTTGTATATTTTACTTTCAAAAAATTAAATATGATACTTAATCGTCTTTGACAACAGCTGTTTATTTGATAACAAAAACGTTTTCAAACTTGCAGGGTTAGTTAAATAATCAGAAACAGGGTTTAACATGGTTACCATCTTCAAGGGTATAGGATTTGTGTTCGTAACGTTTCCGGATTGGAGGCAGTATGATTGTTGATGATTAAAACACCTTGTATACAAAACCATATTTACTTTAAATTATTTCCACGCACATGTATACACGTACAAATCACCTACATACAGACTATATTTGAGCAGATCAAGTAGCTTGACCACTTTTTTCTGAAGTCACTAGCGTGTGCCTTCTACGCACAACCTCGCCCAATTAATTATCCTACTTCTTATTACGTACTTGTGTCCGAACAAATTGTTCGTAATACGAGATGAAATATAAAATACTAATTAACATGTATCTGTCACAGCCAATTCGAATAAATTGGTATTTTTAGTTCGGCCTAGGCGTTTCTGTAACCACTGCTGGTTTCAAATGTGACTGTCTGGCATTTAGGCGGACTGTGCAAAATAGTTTTTTAAAAGTATTTAAATACAAAATGCAAATACTTTTTTAATTTGCTATTTCAAATGTAAAATACAAAATAGATTTCCCTTTTGTATTTTAAATGGTTAATGCAAAATAGGTAGGCTGAACACGAATATGCAGTTCACGACGGCCTGCAAGGTACTTAGGGCCTAGGACGGCCGTCATATACGTCAAAATTATTTTTTTTCTGAAATTTCGATCATCTAATGTCTTTTTAGTAATGGACAATTAATCTGTTCTTGTTCTTTAGGAAATTGACCCATGTCGACATAATTCTCAACTTCAAACATGTTTTGTTCATCGACATAAGTGGAAATTACTTAACGTTGGATAGTTTACAAATTTTAACGAACATGCCTTTTCTGATACTACTCAAAGCAGAAAGAAATCGCATGCAATCAGCTGCCTTGAAACCCGCTCCTTACTTGCAGGTATAAGGATAACGATTGTATTTTAAGGATGTTTGGGAGGTATGTCAAAATGCTACGAGACGAATAAAAATTTGGAAGAACGTTCCTCATTCAATTCTAAAACTCCTGTAAAAATTACAAATCGATTCACTAAACCGTTAAAAAGTAGCAGCAATANAAATTTCAAAAATTTTTTAATATGTTGAGCATTTACCAAATTAAATATTCCATTAATTGCTTCTAATTTTCAAGATTTTTCTCAAAAGTTCTATCAACATGATGCCTGAATGTTACGCTTTTGCCGATTGCATATTCCTATGAATTGTTAAATATTGAACGTAGTTCTGTTTTCAAACGATTGACAAATATTCTTCACTTAACATATTTATTAAAGTTTTATTACCGTACTACCGTATTTTGTTCGACTTTTTTATTGAAAAGCGCCGTTATGAAACATCACCACATGACGATAGAATGTCTAAGCAGTTAAACCAACATATTGGCTTGTATTACAAATAACCTTAGAGCGAACAATTCGTTAGTTACTGCTGCTACAACAGCCAACAATAAATTATTACCTATTTTATATATGAAAGATGACTCTGCCCGAACATATTTATTTAAGAAAATATGGTTGGTTGTTGTAACAATCTACACATTTATTAAGCTTTTGAAAAAAAAATTAATAATACTTAAGGCAAACAAGTTTAATTGCATACTAAATAAGTACTTTAATTTTGAATGGCGATTATTTAAACTAGAGGCCTTCTTAATGAAAAATTTAACTATTAATCAGTATCAAATTTAATTACTAATACACGTTAAAGGAAATTTCAGCTAGACTAGACCCCAAGTCGTTCAAATAAAAAAATTTCTTTTAATGTTGCGTCAAAAGGTTTTAATAATGTGCAAGTGACTTTTAGTTACGAAATAGTTTTCATATATATAGTGTAACTACAAAGTTCAACCGTTTTTCTTGACCCTTTCTGTTAAATTTGCAAAAAAACCATTAACGAAATTCCCATGAAAAAACCGTTCCCATAAAAATCAACAATTTTTCCAGTCGACTCATTCGGAATCGACATGATCGAGGAATAATCTATCATTCGAAATAATCAATCACAGACGTAATAAATCATTTAAAAAAGAGAGAGAGAGAGCGAAGGCGCACACTATGTCAGCATCACCCCGTCTCGAGTTTCACATCCTAACCCTTGCAAGAAGTTTTTTCGGAAAAAATGAGCTATTATACCTTTAAAAAATACTTTCGTACACTAAGGTAGAAACAGCCGTTTTGTATTCGAAAACATTAGGTTAATAGTGTTGTGTCCCCGAAGGAAGGTAACTTAAATTCATCCCCTGTATGCGCGGCCGTCTCTACCCCTCTCAAGTGGTACCAGATCATTGTAGGGTAGGCCTTTCGGTGATCGATTATTTTTTACTTTTTTAATCGATTTTTACTTGTTTCCACATTTTGAACGGGTGTCGAGTAAAAATATTCATGACTTTTTGTGAGAAAACTAACCGTGTTGCTGTTGTGTTAAAAAATATCCTCACTTATTACTTCTGTTTTATACCTACCCCTTTCTTGCTTACAACAAAAATTCACACACAAATTATAAAAAATAATAGATAATTTCAATCAGAACAATCCACAAATTGTCATAATTTCTGTTTTTAATCACATAATTGAAAATAATAAAAAATAAACTAAAATAAAACAAAAATATTTGTACTTATGGAGGAAGTTAATATTTCGGAAAATTTCAAAAATTTTTTAATATGTTGAGCATTTACCAAATTAAATATTCCATTAATTGCTTCTAATTTTCAAGATTTTTCTCAAAAGTTCTATCAACATGATGCCTGAATGTTACGCTTTTGCCGATTGCATATTCCTATGAATTGTTAAATATTGAACGTAGTTCTGTTTTCAAACGATTGACAAATATTCTTCACTTAACATATTTATTAAAGTTTTATTACCGTACTACCGTATTTTGTTCGACTTTTTTATTGAAAAGCGCCGTTATGAAACATCACCACATGACGATAGAATGTCTAAGCAGTTAAACCAACATATTGGCTTGTATTACAAATAACCTTAGAGCGAACAATTCGTTAGTTACTGCTGCTACAACAGCCAACAATAAATTATTACCTATTTTATATATGANGAAGTAATCGAAGCTGTAAATGGTTATTTTGAGGAGCTTGACGAATCAGTCTATAGAGATGGCATTAATAGACTGGAACACCGCTATGAGAAATGTATCAGCCTTGGAGGAGATTATGTTGAGAAATAAAAAAAAAAAATTTTTAAAAACCTTGTTTTTCTTGGTCAGGCCGGAAACTTATCAATCCACCCTCGTATATAGTGTAACTACAAAGTTCAACCGTTTTTCTTGACCCTTTCTGTTAAATTTGCAAAAAAACCATTAACGAAATTCCCATGAAAAAACCGTTCCCATAAAAATCAACAATTTTTCCAGTCGACTCATTCGGAATCGACATGATCGAGGAATAATCTATCATTCGAAATAATCAATCACAGACGTAATAAATCATTTAAAAAAGAGAGAGAGAGAGCGAAGGCGCACACTATGTCAGCATCACCCCGTCTCGAGTTTCACATCCTAACCCTTGCAAGAAGTTTTTTCGGAAAAAATGAGCTATTATACCTTTAAAAAATACTTTCGTACACTAAGGTAGAAACAGCCGTTTTGTATTCGAAAACATTAGGTTAATAGTGTTGTGTCCCCGAAGGAAGGTAACTTAAATTCATCCCCTGTATGCGCGGCCGTCTCTACCCCTCTCAAGTGGTACCAGATCATTGTAGGGTAGGCCTTTCGGTGATCGATTATTTTTTACTTTTTTAATCGATTTTTACTTGTTTCCACATTTTGAACGGGTGTCGAGTAAAAATATTGATGACTTTTTGTGAGAAAACTAACCGTGTTGCTGTTGTGTTAAAAAATATCCTCACTTATTACTTCTGTTTTATACCTACCCCTTTCTTGCTTACAACAAAAATTCACACACAAATTATAAAAAATAATAGATAATTTCAATCAGAACAATCCACAAATTGTCATAATTTCTGTTTTTAATCACATAATTGAAAATAATAAAAAATAAACTAAAATAAAACAAAAATATTTGTACTTATGGAGGAAGTTAATATTTCGGAAAATTTCAAAAATTTTTTAATATGTTGAGCATTTACCAAATTAAATATTCCATTAATTGCTTCTAATTTTCAAGATTTTTCTCAAAAGTTCTATCAACATGATGCCTGAATGTTACGCTTTTGCCGATTGCATATTCCTATGAATTGTTAAATATTGAACGTAGTTCTGTTTTCAAACGATTGACAAATATTCTTCACTTAACATATTTATTAAAGTTTTATTACCGTACTACCGTATTTTGTTCGACTTTTTTATTGAAAAGCGCCGTTATGAAACATCACCACATGACGATAGAATGTCTAAGCAGTTAAACCAACATATTGGCTTGTATTACAAATAACCTTAGAGCGAACAATTCGTTAGTTACTGCTGCTACAACAGCCAACAATAAATTATTACCTATTTTATATATGAAAGATGACTCTGCCCGAACATATTTATTTAAGAAAATATGGTTGGTTGTTGTAACAGACAGTTTGACCTTATGCCGAAAAATCGCGTTCAACAACAATATCTACTACAACTTCTCTTGAAGTCGTCCGGAGCGCTTACAAATCGAAATCAATCATTCATATAACCGTTTTAATAGGATTTAGAAACATAAACATCAGAACGAAGCAAGTAATTTGTAAAACGAGCAATTCTTGATGAATTCCGCAGTAATGAACTGTACGACGCCGTCGCCGGTTCAAAAGTTATGCAGTATCAAGTAAAGAAATGACAACTTTGATTTATTGCTAATCAGTACTAACAACATTGATGGAAAGACGGACGGAGCTACATGGGTTAGGTTACATTGATGGCAATGAATGTTTAATGAAGGACCGATCGTGAGAGAGAATTTACCACAACGCGTTGTGGTTTCTGGAATTCTTCCACAACACATTTGCAAAATATTCGTGAAACGGTACAGCCACTGACCACAAAGCGTTTGAGGAAGTTTAAATGTTTGATATTTTTAATGGATTTAAAAGACATTAACTGTTGCTGGTAGAATTCATCCCCAATTCAACATAATTTGTGATGTAGAATTCATATAAAAATAACAATAAGCATGCACTAAAAAATTGAAAAGCAGGAACCAATGCGTTTATGCATGATTAAAATTATCTGTTCGCCATCATTTCAATATTTATAATGGGGTTTTGATATAGGATCTAAACAAACGAGAAAAACATTGACGATAATGCGTTGTGGCTCCTAGAATTCTTCGACAACACATTTGTACCTAAAATAATTTAAGTAAAACCTATAAAAACAATAACACTAGAATATTAGTGAAATAACGCAAAAATTTACTTAGATATTTTTAATGAATCTTGCTGATGGATTTAAAATCGAGAAAAAACAATGACCACAATGCACTGTCGCTTGTAGAATTCATCTACAACGCATTCCTATAATTTGTGATGTGCAATTAATAGAAATAACAATAACTCAGAAAAAATTGAGGAGAAGGAATTAACTTTTAAACGTTTAAAATTATTTATTGGGGATTATTATAACATTAATAATGGATTTTGATAAAAGATCTAAACAAGAGGGAAACAATCTTGGCCACAATGTGTTGTGGCTTTTAGAATTCGCAAAATTCGTGTCAAAATAAAAATTCTACTACCAAAAAATTGAAACGACTACAAAAATTTGGAAAAATAATGTTTTAGTAATTGCATCGTAAATTGTGTTGTGGACGAATTTTAAAATATAGAACAGGTTGGATTTACAAGTCTATTTGCAAGTCTACATAATTTATATTACTTCATCATAAGGTCGTCAATCTTAAAACTGGTTGGACACGCACCTCCACTCTTTCTTATCCTGAGCTATTTT